TGCCAGGTGGTAGTGAGCTTGATCTCAAACCCAAGTGCTTTTGTACTATGCCACACTCACTAGTTGTGACTCTCAGCAAAGTGTCAATAAAAACAGTCAGTTTTTAGCAAATGATCTTGTTATTTCAGCTTCTTAAAATAATTTGCTTCATTTCTAAGGCAAGGTATTTTTTGCCCAAGAGAGTGAAAATAAAAGTGTCAAGTGTGGAGAGAAACTAGCCTTCTCACACATTGTTGCTGGGAATTATAAACAGGGATAACCTTTGGGGAGCAAAATTTGGCGCTGTTAAAACAACTGTAAAATGTGCATACATTCTTCAATGCAGTAATTCCACTGAAATGGTTGTATACATGCAAAAAAGACCTACAAGGATGTTAATCTCAGTACTATTTATAATATCAAAAAATTAGAAGCAACCCAAATGAAAGTGATTAAAAATATTAAGGTAAATTCATACTATGAAGTACTATGCAACTATTTTATGAAGAGAGAATGACCTATAAAAAGGGCTGTCCATGATTTGTTGATTTTATTTATAACTTTAAATGTCATGTACGTATGTGTGTGTGAGACTGTGTGTATATGTATAAGGCTCCTGTAAAAATTAAATATTACTAATAAAGCACTTCAAATAGTTCCTGCCAAAGAGTAAACATTAGGGAAAATTTATCAAAATGTTATCGTATATAAATCAACTATACTTTGATTTAAAAAAAGGAACTATTAAAATAACTTTAAAAAAACAAACAAAAATGTGATAGTATACGCATGAAAATAATATAGAAGAATATAAACTAAGTGGCGAAGAGTGGCTTTGTCTGAGAGGTGGGATTATATAGGGTTCTTTTTCTTTTAATAAATTTGTGTTGTTCGAATACTTTAATTATTTTTGTATTGAAAATATAATAAAGATATGCTTTCTACAGAAGAAAACCTTATTATTCAGATAAGAACATCCTCCATATGCACAGAATTCAGTCTAGCAATACTAATAAACATTCCAAATTTGTATGATGGACTAAATACTTTAGACCTGTATTAGATTTCTGGCAGTGTTAACCTGTTCAGAGGATGTAAGTGGGGGAATGGAAGGAAGAGAAAACAGATCATGTCACAAATGTTGAAAAAGAACAGCTATTTCCTCTCCCCTGAAAATCTGTGATTCTGGCCTGGAGCCCTAGAGCCACTCGGAGCCAACAGAGGAAGTGAAGGGCCGCCGCGCGTCCTGGCCATTCCTTAACACATGTTTCGCAGCCGATCCTGCTGACACATCCTGCAGGCCAGGCAGGGCCCCGCATGGTTGTTGCCTGCAGGAGTGCGAATCCAAACGCAGACCTAAACCATGGCAGTGATAATGATACAACAAACAACTAGCAGGTTTTCCTAAAGGCTAAGGCTCTGCAGACTTTCCTCCAAACCTACAGAATCTGAAATCTGAATTTTTAGGAAAACTAACAGGTCGTGTTGCTGTACAGAACATTTCTTTCTGGGTTTTGTGTATCAACTATGTACTTGGTCACTTTATGGTACAACGTAATGAATCGTGTGAGTCCTGAGGTTTTTTTCTAGCTCTGAAGTACTACCTGTTAGTTTTCTTCTGCTTCACATCTCAGTTGATTGTCCAGTATAATCAGAACTAAATTCAGTAATGATGACAAAAGGGGACTTGTTTCTTTGGGTGTGATTTTAAGAGGAATGCTTTAGTGTTTCCCCACAAAGTACAAAGTGCTCTGGGGTTTTTGGAAAGTTGCCTGTTACAATCTCCTTTTATTCCTCTTTATCCTTTTTAAAAACTGGGACTAGGTGTTCAAATATTTTTGTCATTTATTGACAGAATGATGAATTTCTCATTGAACTTACTGATGTGATTAGATCAATTCCTAGGACCGGGATTCTCGGATCAATGGATCACATAGAAAAGCCTATGAATTGGTTCACCTGAGAATGAAACGCCAGAGCACAGTGCAGTCCGGGTCTGACTGACTCACAAGAAAGCTTCAGGGGAGGACAGGTAATGAGATTCTATCACGGACCTGACCTCATGGGAAAGCAGTCCACACCTCAACTATAGCACCAACCGCACTGAACTGCAATTCAGCTGCTCAAAGAGTTTCTCTCTCCAAGATTTCTCCAGGTAAAGGATGATACCTTATGCACCCAAGTACCTGTTGTATCTTTTACATAGCCAGGTGGCTAAGTTATTTCTGTTCCGTCCCCACAAACTATATTTTGCATGCAAGCCGCCTACCTCAGTCTGCAACCAAGGTCAGATTCAAGGGAGAACACAGGGAACATGAAGAAAGGAGGAGGAAATAACGAGTCTCTGAAGGTAAAATCACATGACCCCGTTACTTCAGGATGGTGGAAAAGTATTAGTAAAAAATACTGAGGCCTGGGAATTCCCTGGCGGTCCCGTGGTTAGGACCCAGCACTTTCACTGCCAGGGCCCAGGTTCGATCCCTGGTCGGGCAACTAAGATCCCACAAGCCACGTGGTTCTGCATAAATAAACAAAATCTAGGTCTGCCCCAACCTTGCTTTACCTCAGCTCCCCAGGATAGGAGAGGGATAATAAACGCACCTCCCACGCACCTGAACCTCCATCAGTAATTTTTATCACTGTAAATCCTTGCAGGATTTTGAGCACATCATAGCTCACACAACATTCTCACGCACATCCCCTCACTTGACACTCCTCACAGACATCCCAGGGGACAGGACAGAACCAGAGTTCAAAGCTGGGAGTCGGACCTGGATATGAATTCTAGCACTCAATTAACAGGGAGGGCAAGTTACTAAATCTCATTTAGCCTCATCTTCTTTACCTGTAAAACTGGGGTAATATTTACCTCATGGAATGCTTCTGAAGATCAAGTATAACATAGTGAAAATCAAAGTCCCTAGCACATGTTACGTGCTCAACAAGTAAGTATGATTTCCTTTCCTTCTGACACCGGAGTTTTTCCCTGGGACAATGCCTCTGTTAGCACTCACAGCCACCGTCCTTCAGGAGGCCTCCCGGCTGTCTGCTTAAGGCACAAGTGGCAACCCCTGCCCAGGACAGAGGCAGATTGGTGGCTGCCCCAGTGCCAGTGGGGAGCCCCTGGCTGGGCTGCCTGAGTGGCCCTATGTCTGTGTGGGCTCTGGGACACAGGTCCAGCCACCAACCCTGCACCCTCCCACATATGTTCCCTCCACAGGGAACCTTTTATTTTCTCAATTTTTTGGACATTGGCCTCATACCCGTCCTTCAGACTGTTTTATGTCTATTCTCCCCAAAGGACTATGGGACAAGGGCAGGCTTCCCAAACACCTTCTCCTCTCTCCCTTCTCCCTCAACCTGCACATCTCTAACCAGCTCTCAGTGGCAGGGTTTCAAGCATTTCTTTTCCACTTCCAGGAAAAGCACAGTATTAATTGTGGTTCTGGAACCAAAGTGCCTCGGTTCAGTTCCAACTCCATTTCTCACCGTTTCTGGTGTGACCTCGGCAACTACTTAACCTCTCTTAACCTTAGTTTCATCCTTTGTAAACGGGGAGAACAACACACTTTGGGGGAATTCAATGAGGCACACGGTAGGTACTCAACAAAATTTAGCTCTTTTCTATATTATGTATATATACATAAACGTATCTGGAAGGATATGCATAGAATGGTTTATAGTGGTATGCTTCAGGGAGCATACAGAGGAGAACTTTTATTTGACAGAAACTTACACCATTTTACAAGCATTCATTATTTTTGTAATTTAAACACACTTTTAACAAGAATACACGGGTATGGTAAAGAAAAGGAAAGGAGGAGAGGGGAAGGGAGGTGGAAAAAAAAAGAAGAAGAAAAATGGTCTGCTCGAGGCGGAAGCCAAAGGCTGGATCAGAGTCATGACTGGTTGAGACATTCTGGTTATAGCTTTAGCGCTAGGTGCAGAGTTCCCCATGCCTTGTCAGAGAAAACTTCTGCTGTATATATGTCAGCCTTACACAGATTTCCTTCATGTTTCCTCCAGTGTTCCAGGTGGGAGTGGGTGTGGGGGGAAGCCCACCTCCACTGGATTAAGTTATCCTGGGATGGAGGGGTGCGGGCAGGGAGGTTCTGATCTCCCTCACGGTGGGAGAGCTGCCCAGTCCCCTGGAGCACTGTGCGGGGGGCGGGTGGGGGTGTCTCCTGGGTCCCAGGGGAGGAGGAGGCACATCCAGGACAAGCCCTAGGAAGCTTCCACACTACCAGGCAGGAAATGCTTCCAAGGGACCTGGGCATGCCCCCCTAAGAAGTCTAGACCACTTTGCGTGGGAGGAAAAAGGGAGGGCTCTGTCTCTTATTGAAGAATCTTCTGAGCGGTTTCAATTTCCCTATTTCTCCAATGTGTCATGAGATACAGACTGCAGCAAGCAAAGGTTTGTTTTACTACCTTCTGTGCAAGAGTCCCCACAGGGCTACTTACATTTCCCCCCCAACCTAAAAGCTCAGTACTATGCATAGTAAAAAAAAAACCATATCCTTTTTTGGTAAGAGCTACATTATCAGAATACCAAGAGGAATGCTGCCTACTCTTTATGTGTAGCCAAGATATTCATTTAGCCAACCCACATTTCGGACTTTTTCAAAGGGTGAAAACCCTCCTTGTTCCTCACTTCCCTCACATCACTTCTGATGGGTAAAAACCTTATCGGCTCACAAAATGCATGCCCCAAGCAGCTTGCATTTCTAGAAAACCACCTCCTGTATAGAGAATATTCTATGAATGTTTTCAAATTGCAAATGCTACATTGCTTCTATGTGTCTTCTGGGCTCCACCCAGACAAGCACAGCTATTCCTGCTGGCAACTATGAATATGTAATATTTTCCCCACCTTATTAATACCTCTTCTAACAAAGTTCCTGCCAGCCAAGCATGTCCTTGTGACCCGTTCCCATCACTGTTTGCCACCCCACACTCACCCAATAGAACTGGATCTGCTATAAAGGAAGATGCCAGAAAGGACACCCAAGAAGGTGGCTTACCTTTCTCATGGCTGCTTGCTGGTGGGGGTGGGAGTGGGGAGGTGACCGGTTTGGACTTGTCATAGTTGTTAAAGCTCTGGCTCCGTCGGTTGTTAGCAGTGGCTGACCCTCCGCGTGTTTTGGCCTCGCTGCCTGCAGCGGATACCCTCGCGGTAGGACCTGGAAGTCTAAAAGGCAAAAGCAACAGGCTTCAGTCTCAAGAGAACAGCAGTTCCTCAGAAGGTACTGCAGCCACGCAGGAGGTAAAAGAAACCATTCAAGGCATCAGGTCGGTGGCGGTTTGCCAGTCCAAGGACTTACTGGAACCACCACAAACATCTAGGCTAGTAATGACCCCAGTAAAGTCCAAAAGCCAAGTGTGAGTAGTTTTCCTTTGAACACAGAGAGAAATATATGAATATGTCTGCTGATTAGAAATACAAAGCTCGGGAGTTCCCTGGTGTAATAGTGGTTAGGATCCTGGGCTTTCACTGCTGTGGCCCAGGTTCAATCCCTGGTCAGAGAACTGAGATCCCACAAGCCACACAGCGTGGCCAAAAAAAATACAAAGCTCATCTTACTTTTTCTCTTGGATGAGTAATTTTACTTTTCAATAGGGCCAAACCATGTCATCTCTAATTCTGTCTAGGGTAGAACATAAAGGTCTGTTAAGACTCTAAACTGTTAAACTTGCGTGTGCATCTCTTTTGACAGATACTGAAAATGGTTTTTGCCATAATCTAGGGATGTAAGTATCAAGAAAAAGATATAATTTATGATGGTCAGAAAGGAAACTGCTACCTCAGAACCCAACTCATCTGCAATGAAAAATTATGGACTGGATGGAAACATTTGTTCAGACATACATTTTCCTTCAACATCTGACAACCTGTCTCCACAGACATTACTCTGAGTCTGAAGCTCAGCTTCTCTGCACAGTCGATGGATAAAATCATACATTCTTTCCGTAAAATGAGCAGGAATGTGTTAGCCTAAAGACAAACACACACTTTCCCTTTAAATAGAACACTTCATTTTTGGGTGGTTTGGGAAGTAAAGTCAGCAGACTAGTCTTTGGTAATGTGGCTAAAGATATTATGGCCCATTCCCCGAAGAGTTAAGGCTATGACTCCGCAAATCAGAATTTTGGTTCAGGGATTACTAAGCAGACTCTTTGCAATCATTAAAGTTGAAAGATGAATAAATGATGAAATATTTAGTTATATCTTTCAGCTAAAACCCACTTGGCAGTGTTGAAAAGCCACTGGAACCTCAGCTGACCAGCATTAGATCTAGCGATAAGTCTGAATTTTCAACTCATAAAGCTTTCAGCCTTCTCTTTCCACACAAATCTCTAAGCACCGAAGAAGTCTGCAGTCTGGAAGCATTTTAGATAGAAACAGGCAAACGCTTCAAACTTTTTCTTGTTGCCTGAGCAAGAAAAAATGGCTGCAGAGTGCACAGAGAACATGAGCTGGTGTGAGAGGACTGTAAGATTTATACCGTTAAGAAGAAGCTGGCCCAGTTCCTTAACTGGGAGCTAGGAGAGAAGGAAGCGGGTGAGTTCTTTCCCCCAAAAGTGGCAGAGGGAAGGCCTCACTTCCCACTGCATTAGGAGGATTTGCCCCTCTGTTAATTTATCTTGTTTAGCGAAGATATTCACCCCACGAAGACAGGCACAGAGTGGGGTGCAAAACCAGCAGTGCCAGTGCCTGTGTTTGCGGACCAGAGGCGGCCAGATCAACTGATCAAGGAGGTCCAGCAATGGGATCTTGGCACCTCTCGGTTCTGCTTCCAATGCAAACAGCACCCTGCACGCCCTCCAAGACGGACGGTGTTACCCGAGGACTCCCAGCCAATGGCAGAGCTGCTGCAGGTGCAGGCGTGGGGCTCCTCAGGGCTGGACTCTGCAGGAGTCTGTATGCCCACAGATAGGCCTGAAAAAGGATTATGGACATGTTCCAAGATGATGTCACAGCAACAGTTTTAAGTGGTGCAGGGTAACACAGGTGACAGTATTCTACTCCCGTGGCAAAGAACAGGGAAGCAAAAAGCAACGAGGAGGGAAAAGATGCTTGAGAGGCCTCACTGCCCTCACCTGGGACTGGACCACAGCTTTGTCAGAGCAGCCCAGGGCCTTTATAGAGGCAAGAAATCAAAGCATTGGATGGGGTGGCCACAACCTTGAATGAGGTAGGCAATTTGGTCCTCTGTGAGGCAGTGTGGTACAATGGGTAAAATAGCTTTTTCCATACAAATGTGGACATGACATTGGGCCAGTCTTATGATCTGAGATTCACATTCCGTATATGTCACTTTGGAATAATAGTAAAGTACCCAATCGGATAGGTGTGAACTTGGAATGGGACTTAAGGTCCAGCCTGATGTAAGTACTCAGTGCATGCTGGTTCCCCTTAACATCCTCTCTGCTGAGCACAGATTCATAAAGGAATTGGACATTGTCATAAAGAAAACATGCTATGGTAGAAAAAAGAACCAGACAAATAAGGAAGGAATCAGGCAGATCTAGGTTAAAGCAGCAATAGAGAGCTGGACAAAAATCAACACACAAGAGTTGGAGATCAACATTTCCAAAGAGGCAAGAGAGGTTTTGGCAGACAGGATTCATCATCTCCCTAAGGAACATTCGAGGAGAGAAACTGCTTCATCCAAGAATCCGTGATGAAGAAACTGCTTCATCCAAGCATCTGTGACGAAGACCTGACACTTGGGGTACCTCTGAGCCATCTGTGGGGCCCAGACTGAAACATTCCCCAGTCTTGGATTAACTGAGACGGCTCTGGTTTCCCAGGGGTGGTCACCATCAGATCCTCTTCCTTGAGTCAGAACCTAGAGGTGCTACTCTGATGGGAGTGACCCATCCTTCAAATGGCTACAGGTTGTACCAAGTTTTCTGAGACATGGAAGAGGTCTCGAAGGCCTTGAGGGCAGCTGACGTGACAATAAGGGATGGTTGGCACATGCCGAGCCATCAAAAGCCACCATAAAGCTCAAGCCAACTCATGTCACCCTCTACCTCATCACCATTACACCCTAGTGAGGAAAGCTCCCTTAACTTGACCAAATGGGAAAACTGGATGGAGACCAAGTAACTTCTTCCAAGTGCCAGAAGGAATCCATGTGAACACTGTGTTTCAAAACTCGGGTTCTGTTGTGGATGGGGTGGGACAGTTGCTTGCTCCAAAGCAAGCCTCCTCCATCCCTCTGAAACTTTCAGCAGTCTGCCTCACAAACAAAGGCCATGAATGAATGTGTGATGGATGGGAAGTAAGGTAAAAAAGCTTCGTTTGGATCCACCCAGGAGGGAACCAAAACATCCCTTGGGATGATGAGTCAATCCACAAACTGAATTAATTCAGACTGAATTGTGAATACAGGATTTCAGAGCCAAAGGTGACCATGAGATCCTAAGATACCCGAGCAATCCAGGTGAGGGCACTGGACTTCACAAACTGAAGCAGGGATGTGCTATGTCTGTGTTTCTGAGTCCTTCCTTACCCCAATTCATATGTTGAAATTGTAATGCCCAATGTGATGGTATTAGGAGGTGGGGCCTTTGGGAGGTGATTAGGTCATTAGATAGAGCCCTCATGAGTGTTGCTTGTAAGTCACCCAGCCTGCGGTGTTTTATCATGGTGGCCCAAAAAGATTATCACAGGGTTCTAGTTCAATCTTATCTAGATCTTAAGGGGTGGATTGACCCTAGCTGACATCTCAATTACATACGCATTGATAAAAGAATATGAAAGGTCAGAAGTAATTCAAAGAAGAGAAATAATGACCTCGGAAGTTGGAATGGTCAGGGAAGGTTCCAAATAAAAGCAACCCCAGAGCAAGATGTGGCGTGAGGAATGAGAATGTGAGTAGAGGGCAAGAAGGGAGGGGGCAGAGGTGTCATGCAGAGGGAAGCTTGTAAAAAAAAAAAAAAGCACTGAAGAAAGAAAGGGCCAGTGTGTGCTGGGGCCTGGGGGACAGCGTGGGAGGAAATGAGGCTGGAAAACCAGGCGGGGGCAGCCCTCAGTGTCACACTCTGAACCTTGGACTTAGTCCTGTCCTCCAGCAAGGAGGCATTCATTAGCGAAGCAGAGAGCAGAGCTGGAGTTGAAACGCAGAGCAGCTTCCAGTTCACAGTCACACAGGCCCCTGGCTAACATTCTGAAGTTCATTATTATTAACATCCTTGTGCATCAGGAGAACTTCTCTCAAGCCCCAGCCTGCGAGTAGCTGCCGTCTGTCCATTAGCATCATTCTGCAGCAGAGCTGGGTCTTGCTCATGTGGAGCAGCTGCAGATAGCACAACAGCAGCTGCCCAGCAATGCCTGCCTCATCAAGAAAAAGCAGAGAGAGCAGAGTGCAGCAAGTCAACCTCAAATCATCTACACCCTACATCATCCACAGTGCCAGAAGGTTTCAATGGCTCCTTTGCAAGAGGGACTCGACTTCCCACGATCATCCCACGTCCAAACAACAGTTACAAAATGAGAGGACACAGATGTGTTCTCTGAAACACACACACGTTGCTTTTTTAAAAAATGAAGTTTAAGGGAAGAGGTGTAACAAAGAGGCAGAAGGAAAATCCTGCTGCTATGGGAGCTATGGTCAATTTCTCCAACATGTGCACAGCCGAGCAGGCAGGATGGTAAGACTGTTGTTCCTGGCACATAACCTGTGCGTGCATCCCGGATCCACGCGTTGTACGTGCTGATGGGAAGAAAGCCGTTCTTCTCCCCCAAACCACTTCAAAGGCTGGGAGCAGAAGATGGCCCTCCCAGGAAAGATGGCAGCTTGTGTGCACATGCTCAGGACCTTGGGGGTGGGGGGTGGGGTGGAGGTCATAACTGGAGATGCTTTTGCTAGACAAGATGATTAAATGCTAAACCTCTCATCTCCACGGCATCTGCTTTTCAGCAGCTGGGCAGAGACGGCTGAACTACTAGCCACACTGATTCTTCTCCACGAGATGGTCGCATAGAGATCGACTCTGTGAGACTCGCTAGAGCTGGCCCAGATCAACCCAAACCACCAACATCGCCCTATCAGCTAGTTATGGTGCATTGATTACACGCCAGGCTGCGAAGGGCTGGAAATGACTTTATTTAGTCCACATAGCACTGTGACTATGTGGGGCAGGACTACCCCATTTTACCAATAAGGAAACACAGGCTCATGGAGATTAAATAACTGGCCCAGGTAACATAGTAAGTGGTGAAAACGGTGTTTGTTAGGTTTGACTGCAAAGCTGCACTCTTCGTCACCACGCTTCAATGCCTCCCACAGGTAGAATAAGCCTAAATACCTGAGGCTCACCAGGGACGCCAAGAGGCGACACAGTGGTCAAAGGGGGAAATTCATGGAAATCCTTCATCCCTGTACCAGTTCCCTCCATGAGCCCCTTCCCCGTAGATTCAAGATGAGGCTTCCCACCTGCTCAACATCCTTGGTGCCTATCTAGGTGTATGGCTCTGGTCGGTGTTCAATCAATGTCTGCACCTGAACAAGAGACCTATTTCCAAAGCTCTGGGAGAGGTATCCTACTCAGCCAGAGGGGTAGTAGGTCAACAAGCTGACCCTGTTTCTTTTGGCAACCAGACTTTACTACTATCCCTGGTGGTGCCTGATCTGCTAAAATGTTTATCAAGGTTGTGCTCAAGCCTAGGGGCGGGGCAGTGGGCGGAGCAGAAGGCAAGGAGTGTTAGACGAATAATAAAATGAAGACCATCCCTTTGTCAGGCTCGTCAGAAACAAAATGCATCCAAGAGAAACTCTAGATGAGGGATAGGACCCTGATGGAAAGCCAGACCTTGGCTTCGATCAACTTGGAAGCCCTGTGCCCAGCACGCCCTCAGGGCAGGGCAGACACGCCCTCATTCTTCAGTTCTTCCTCTCTTCCCCCCCAACCCCACTCCACCTCCTTCCATCGTTTGGGACTGATAATAATAGATCATTCACGGGATGGGCATGTGCTTCCAATTAGATTCTTTCCCAGCTAGTTCCTGTTTTCTCTCTCTTCCAGAAGTAAGCACATCCGGGGAACAAACACTAGATTTCAGGTTTCCTCCAAGCTCCCCACCCCCTTCCTCTCCTGTGTTTGGACTTTGCATGACACTCAAAAAAAAGGGTGGGGGGAGGCCGTCTATCTGACTTGGGCCTCGTGCTGCTGGGAAAGCAGTCACTCTCTAGCAGGGTGCTATGGACTCATGTTTGTGTCCCCTGCTCCCCAAATACATATGTTGTCATCCCAGTGTGACGGTATCTGGAGACGGGGTCTCTGGGAGGTAATGAGGTCATGAAAGTGGAGCCCTTGTGATGGGGTTAGTGTCTTGGAAGAAGAAACAGAGACGGGAGAGCCTGCTTTCTCTCTGCTCTCCACCATGTGAGGACACAGGAAGAACACAGCCATCTGGAAAACGGGAAGAGGGCTCTCACCAGAACACGACCATGTTGGCACCCTGATCTTGGATTTTCCAGCCTCCAGAACTGTGAGAAATAAATCTCCATTAAGTCACTCAGTCTATGGTGATGTGTAGTAGCAGCCTGAGCAGACTAAGACACATGCCAATGAGATGCAGTGATGAATGTAGGTCCCCCAGAACCAAGTCTGGGTAGCATGCTGACTTGTTCTACAGAGAAGCAGCTGCCCTGTGGCTTCTTCCTGCAGCCAGACGGATCCTGAGTTGGGCCTCCCCATGCGTAAGCTTTTTAGAAAAGTTAACTGATTAGAAAAGGCACCCACTGGAGCCTAAGAGCGTGGGGCAGCAAGCAGACGTTCTGTACCTATTTGTTGCATGAATACAGAGAGAAATGCCGTCTGGGCATCCCTTTACCGTTACGTGAGAATTCAATGAAAAAGAAATACCAGCCATAATGAGGAGGAGACTCTGTTTCTGTCAGGATGCTACAAGGGCAACATGACGCAAAGGTCAGGAGGAATGGCTGAAACATATAAGATTTTAAAAAGCAGCCTCACCAACCACGTAAGCACCAGAATTCAAGGAGGAGGAGGGGGCGGGGAGAGAGGTAACATAGTGGTTAAAGTGAGGGTTCTGGGGTGAGATTACCTGGGCTCAAATCCACGTCTTTCCACTTTCTGTGTGACTTTGCTAACTTACCGAGAACTTCCTAAATTTTAATTTCCTCATCTGTAAAATGGGGATAATAACATGACCTACCGCAAGAATACCGATGTGAAGATTAAAAAGATAATGTATTCAAATTGGCACATAATATGCATTCAATAAAAGTTAACTGTTAATACCTTTAAAACAGAGTAGATACAGGGATATAACTGGCGTTTGCCATTCCCTGAAACAGGTCCTGACAGGATGCGGTAGACGCCAAAGTGAGTCAAGAGAATTAGTTAGTGAGCAGCCCTAATTATTATTTTCAGGGAATTGAGGTGATCTGTCCTTGGTACACATGGTACACAAGAGCACCCAGAAATAAAAATGACACATTGCCTTATTGCCTTGTCTCCTCTGAACAACTGGATTCATGCCTCAGGTCTTTAAAACTCAAGAGAAAACCAATCCCACATTAGTAATTTTAATGACAGCACCAATAACAAAAAAGCATAACACACATAAATGAGATGCAGGTGAGGTGGGATCAGGGCCAGGACAGAGCAGGGAGCCAAATTCATCATAAAACTACTATGGAAAACCACCTACAAACTCACCTCTCTAAATCAGAATGGACTTTGACGTCCAAGCAATCAAAGACAAAAAAAAAAATCAGTGAAATGCAGAAACAATACGTACAACTCAACCTCACAGATCTCACACACACACACACACACACACACACACACACCCCTTCAACAACCCCATGGCCACTCTCAACTCTCCAACACTGGGTCATCAGCCAAAGCATGTTTGGTTTTCCCAAACTGCAAACATGACATGGGGAGGGGGACCAGAAGGAAATGCAGCCAGAACAAAAGGAACGAGGGGCTGGGTTGAAACCATGCTTCGCGGGACACGGAGAAAGTCTAACCTAGAGATCTTTTTCTGACCCAGAGTGAAGTGGATGATTTTGCTTTGTGATGAGTCCTTGGAAGATGCACTGCATGATAGGAAAGAAAAAAGTGGAAGAGATGAGTGAGGGGAGAGAAGATGCATTAGACACACAAATAAATAACAGGAGTCCTGTGATAATGCGAACGCCCCTGGGTTTCCCTCTGCCTGCTTTTTCTACAATATGCAGCCTTCTTTCTAGGTCTGATTTGATAAATTTCCAACATGAAGAAATTGCTATCGAGATGATCTAAGAACTTTTGTGGTTTTCTTTTTTTTTTTTTTCTTAACTCCAAATCTCTTTTCTGGTATCAGTCACTATAAGGCCTTCTTCCACAATGACACTGAAGCCAGGGGTCTCGGACAAGTAAACTTTGTAGCTTTCTAAAGTATTCAGATGTCTCTGTTTCACATGCTTGTTCTACCAGGTGGTTTTTCGATGAGTATCCTCAATAGCCCATAAAGTTGACCCTAAACAAGGGTGGACGTGGAGATGTTTTCAAGTTTTGCTGGTCTTGGGAATTTTTGCTCTCCATGGTATAAAGCAATGATCATTTCAAGTCTTCTGAACTTGCTACATTCTGGGCTTTGAACCATAAATTTATGAAGAATCATGGTTGGACTTAATAAAAGGTTAAACTTATTTACTGCCTTATGAAAGACAGAAATATTTATCCTTCTCGCATCCATACATCTTATGCCACATTCATAAAAGGATATGAGGTGAGAAATACAATGTTAGTGTCATTAAACTTAGGAAGTGAAGGAAGAGACAGAAGTGGATGAATTAAAAAAAGTAACTGTTTGGATTTTTTCTAGAAAGCTAAATATTGATAATATGTAAGGTAGACACAGATGGAGAGGAATTTCATGAGGTGAAATGTGGATCAAGTTCTCAGCCATCACGTAAATGAATGAGAAGAGCTGCAGGGTAAAAGTGAGTCTCCATTCGGCGGCCATCACAGAGGAGTTGCTCTGATTCCTTCACGCCAATATCTCAAATTCCCTTGTTCAGCTTCTTATTAACAAACTCTCTTATTAACTCTCTTATTAACAAACACTACGGAAAAGCTGTCCAGTTTTAGTATTTGCTATCCTGAGAGGTACCGGATTTAGGCATGTTTGTATGTGGCAGAGTTCTAATGAAGGATCAACACAAACCTGGTATTTGGGGGTTGCATCAACATTTGACGTTAATGATCAAGGGTCTGAACCATTATCCTTGGGACTTTGGTTATCAAAGTCAGAATGTGGGGATGGAAATACAATGAAACAAAGCCAGGGAAGTGATTTTACTATTCTTAAATTTACAGCCAGAGCATGAGCACGGGGTATCACATCTCTAGACCTTGAGAACAAGATTATCCTCTGGAAGTAAACTCAGAAACTATCAGTATATAATGGATAAAACAAATCATCTGTGAAAGTAACCCAATATGGGCCAAATAAGGGATGAATGAGGACATACAGTAACTCCAGAGCCCAGTTTGTGTCACCACATTGCAGGGTCAGGGGGCCATGATGGCAGGAACTACTCTGGAAAAAATGGATATAAAAACCTGGCTTAAGTGAGTTTGGCTCGTCTTTAGGTAAAGCATTTATTTATTTATTTTTTAAATTGCTGGCTACCTCGCGTGGCATGCAGGGTCCTAGTTTCCCGCCCAGGGATGGAACCCCTGCCCCCTGCAGTAGAAGAGCAGAGTCCGTCTCAACCACTGGACTGCCAGGGAAGTCCCCCTAGGTAAAACGTTTATTAATAGTAGGATGTTTTTTCTTACTTGGAGATGGGTGTCCTGACTGGAACATCTGGTTCTTTTGAGAAGACAAATGCTTACTATGGAAATGGATGCCTCAGGCTAGCACAGCTCAGTGACAAACGCCCAGTGTTCCTCAACACATGTTCCTTGGAACCCTATGCAATGAGATGCTCTATAAAATAAGAAGCGTTCTGTGGCTCAGGTTGAGAATGCTTTCTACGCCGCCTTCTGAAGATTCCCAGTACACATGTGTTCCTCCCCCCACCCCAACCCCCCAGCTTCCTCATCTCAAGAAATGCCACCATTTTCCTAACCGCTCAAGCCAGAAATCTCGGCTTTCTCTGTGATTCCTCTCTCCCTCACTCTAGATAGTCAATCTACCTGTAGTTCTGTTGGCTCATCCTCCGAAATATCCTGAACTGGTCCATCTCCATATTTGCTCTACCACCTTGATCGAAGCCACTGTCATCTAGAGGACCACGGAAGCCTCTTAGCTAGGGTCTTTCCTTCTATTCTTGACCCTCCCACAGTCTTATTCTCCAGAGAGGAACAAAAGTGACTAAAAAAACAAACAAACAGAAAAACTGTAAACCAAATCAAGTCTCTCTCCTGCTCGACTCTCCAATGGCTTGATGTCTTTAGAATGAAATATCAACTCTTTAGCCTGTAGAGCCATCACTGCGACCTCACTTCAAGGGCCACGGGACTACAGAACTCTAGGGGCCACCGGTCAGCCCTCTTTGCTTATAGGCTGCCTTTCACTTCACACCCCCTTCACCCACTGAACTCCAGCCACACTAGCCTTCTTTCTGCTCCTCCAAGCTGCCAAGCTTACCCCTGCCCCAGGGCCTTTGCACCGGCTGCTCCCGCTACCTGATCTATTCTACACCCGCATGGACAGCTCCCTGTCATTCGTATTTCCACTTTGGTGTCATGTCCTCAGAGAAAGCCTCCCATCAACCCAACCTAAATGATCAACCCAGTCCCTCTGATCCCATTATCTTATTGTACTACCACCATCGGATATTTCTCTTCCCCTTTTGTTTGCCTGCCCTCCTCCAGTAGAAAGTAGAGAGCAGGCACCTTGGCTATCTCATTCACCCTTGATCCCCCAGTGCCTAGGACAGTGCCGGGCACAGAGAAGGCATTCAAACACTAACTGGATAAATGAATGCATATTGGCCGATTCAAGGATCTGAGGAGACCCTGCAGTAACAGTTATACAACTTAACCCAGAGGATTTCCCAATTTTTCCCCCATAGAACCCTTCCCCTGCATGTTACCATTCAAGGAATAAGCACTCTGCAAAATGCAGTGTGGGAAATGACGTCCTGATCATTTAATCATCCAGGTCCATCGGGGATCTCCGATCAGAGAATGGCTCCCACCCAGGTGGTTCTTCAAGGCAAAGGTGCAGAGGCTGACTAGCAATTCCTCATTGCTAGTCCAGGCATTCCTACTAGCCCACAAACCTCCATAATGGGAACTGGATATAATTAGATAATCAATTAGGGGCTCTGAGTTACATCACATCTATCAGTGCTGGTTTTAACACCACCACAATTGGGAAACAGTGCTTCTCCTGGGGAAAAAAAGCTGCAACCATCTATAAGGCAGCTGCCTGCTTTGAACCACTTTGTGCTTTGCCTAACTACCATGGCCTATTCGGGGAACTGGAAAGAAAAAGCCATTACTCTTTAGCATATGTTCAATGAAATCAAGCAATCAATTTGATCAGTGGCATTTAGGTTTGATAGCTAAAGATTCACGGCTTAAAAAAAAGAAAAAACAATTATGGTGGACTTTTCTCCAGAACTTTACTGTGAGTCAAAAACTTTCTAGTTCCTAATCCCCTCCTTCTTTTGTCATTGAAACAAATGTTTCACGAGGTGATCTTCTGCAGAGTTGTTTAGGAATGCATCTATACACTGTAACAGAGTAGATGGTAACTGCCCCAGCGTTCTGCTAGCGTTATCATTCTATGGCGAGTCCCTCTGGCAAGTGTGGGTCCCTCTGGAAACAACAAACAAAATCTAGGTCCTAATCCAAAAAGCAGAGGGCCACACCTGACACTGCTACCCGGTCTCTAAAGTCAACAAAAGTCAGTCACATTTAATGGTAACTGCTCCCCATTAGGGGATGCTGGCCCTCTCAGGGAAGGGGGAATGCCTCTTTCCCTGCTAAAAACCACTGGCCATCTTTCTTCTGTGTTCTCAGTATTTCTCTTCTGGCAAAGCAGAGGCATCTGCTGGAGAACTTTTGCCTCCACTAAGGGAAATTACTTGCACATATAACACTGAACACCCAGCTTGTAGGCAGACAAGCAAAAGAAATTTGAAGTCTATTTTAGGGGCTGTTGATTGCCTAGAACGTGTGTGTGTGTGTGTGTGTGTGTGTGTGTGTGTGTGTGTGTGTGTGTGTGTGTGTGTGTGTGT